CGTGAACTCTATCAAGTAAACAAACATTAATATAGCAAAAACCTATCATATTGAAACATAAAATCTAATATGTGTCAGCGCCCGATTCCTCACGAAAAGTTTTGAGGAAATTCGCCAAGTTATGAGATAAAAAATGAAAAAGATTTATATCCATGTTATTATTTTGGGGATTATTAAAGTCCATACTAAGTATAATTTTAATTATTTGAGACTTTATATTCTATTTCTATGTAACTGTTTTAGAATAGATAATTTGTTTCTTATCTAATTTAGGTTGTAAACATCATGAAAGATTAAATGTCTTCACGATTGATTGTTTAAGACTCAAATTAGGTTTAAAGTGGTGAAATTTGTGCATATATATATATATATATATATATATATATATATATATATATATATATATATATATATATATATATATATATATACCCTCAACCCCAAATGTGTTTTGTGAGCTTTTCAAGAAAAAAAACATCTTAAAACTACATCATTTTTCGAATTTTTTTATTCTCATAAAACCAATTTATTTCCCTGACAACGAACAAAGATGATGGTTATTTGCATTTAGTTAATGGATATATATTTTAATTTTTATTTTTGTAATTAGACGATGGTGATTTTTTTTTTTCTTCAGTTTGTTATTTGTAAGTTGTATGTGGTTTGTTGTTTGCAATTCAACAATGCAAATTCAAATTTTGAGTTGCATTAGAGTCATAGGTGGTGGCGCGCAACTACAATGGTAGTGATATTTTTATAGTAGTTTGTTCAATAAATAGTATATTTTTTGTTTTATGAATTGATTTTATTTCTTAGTTCAAATTTGGAAGGGAGATGTTTGGGTAAATTTGATTTGGTAGAGATATTTTAGAGTATTTGATTTGATTTGATTAAAACTATTTTTGCTACAATACGTATAATTAATTTATGAAAACATGGAAATTTTAACTTAAATCTATTTCACATAAGATATTATGAACCTACAGCAAATTGCTCCAATTTTAATGGACACTTACGAACTTATTGTACCAAGTGCATGTTCATGCGTGTGCTTTATAAGGCACTTGCTCTATCTCAGTCTAGTTGCCCATATTTTTACTAGTAGAAAAATAGTTTTTATTACAATTTTTTTTGCTATAGTAAAAAGTTGTAACAAAATGTATTTTTTACGACAGAAAAATATTAGAGTCGTAGTAAATACTAAAATTTACTGTAGCAAAAAAATATTTGCTACGACCATTTACCGTAGCAAAGTTTTTTTCACGCTCGTATATGCTACGAGGCAAATTTGTAGCAAATGCGTAGCAAAACCACTTTACTACGAATTTGGTACCTTCTACTACGATTAATGGTCGTAGTAAAAAAACATTTTTCTACTAGTGTTTGATTGGTGATTGATGTATGTTTTTTTTTAATTTATTTCTAAGTTGTCAATTGTGTCTAACTATATATATCTACTACCCTCCAAGAATTGTATATCTCTTCCACGAAATTGAATATTTGTGTATATTGACATTCGAGTTGACAAAAAAATATTTTTTAAAATTTCCTTGTAAGTAGGCAACTGCAACTCCAATCGAGGAATTAAATGAAATATCAAATTAGAAAAATACTACTTTGATACTTCAAAATAAAATAAAAATCATCCTCTAATGGAGGTATTAAAGTGACCTTTATTTTGATACTCAACCACCTCGAGGTGCAAAAATGCTCCCTGGAAAATGAGGTATAAAAAATATAATCATCCAATTACCTATGATTATTGACATATGGCATTTCAAAATATAATTATTCGTATATTTAAAATATCATAATCTATTTAATACATGTGGTTGAAGTGAATTTTTTTCCAAGAAATAATAAAGTATTATATCAAATATAAATGGATGTTTAATGCTCCATTTTGATATCTTCTATTGAAGTTGCTCTAATGGGCAACTGTGTCTAAATATATATATATATATATATATATATATATATATATATATATATTTGACAAAAAAGTCCGTTTTCAAAATTTCTTTGTAAGTTGGCAACTGTGTCTAACTAAATATATCTCCTACCCTCCAAGAATTATTCATCTCTTCCAAATTAAAAAAATATATTATATATGTCAAATTGTGCCACATGAAATTGAATAGTAGTAGAATATTGACATTTGAGTTGACAAAAGTCTTTTTTCAAAATTTCTTTGTAAGTTGGCAATTGTGTCTAACTATATATATATATATATATATGGCAATTTGCTATAGGTCCTCCTATAAGAGATTATATGTGTTAAAATCCATCTAATAAACTCTAATTTCCAGCAAATTTTTGTATTTATAATTTGTCAAAAGTACTCATATCAATATCCCTATTAATATACGGTAAAATATATCTTCAAAATCAAATCTCCTATTTTTCTCCCTATTATAATCCACAATCCGAAAATTATAATTGCAAAAATATGGAAATCAATTTCTTCCCTGTTTCTTCAAAGCGAAAATCTCACCACGAATTTTGAATCCTTCCATAGGTTTTGGGTGTTTGGTCGTTTGCAATTTTACCAGGTCGTTTGCATTCCATCTTCGTTCGATTTGCTGTTCAATATTTGTATTTGTTTCGTTTGCTATTTACAAATTTGCTGTTCACTATTTGCATTTGTTTCGTTTGCTGTTTACAGGGTTTGTTGTCCCGAAAATTACAATTGCAAAAATATGGAAATCGATTTCTTCCCTGTTTCTTCAAAGTGAAAATCTCACCACGAATTTTGAATCCTTCCATAAGTTTTGGGTGTTTGATTGTTTGCAGTTTTACCAGGTCGTTTGCATTTTGTCTTCGTTCGATTTGCTGTTTAATATTTGCATTTGTTTCGTTTGCTGTTTACAAATTACCAGGTCTGAGCATTTTGCCTTTATTCCGTTTGCCTTCGTTCGATTTGCGGTTGCCCAATTTGACTTCGTTTTGTTTGCAGTTTACAAATTGTTTGTTGCTCGGGATCAACGGCTGGTGTTTAGGGTTTGTTGTTTGGAGTTCATACGATGGCCAAAACACGATTAAGTCTTGGTAATCAATGATCCTTTGTGTAAAATTTTATTTGCATGTTGGGTTTTCGATTTTGATTTTTTTTCTTTCATCTCAAATTTTGTATTTTGTTCCTTTTTTGCTTTTGTATTTTGTTTGTTTGCTATTTATTTCAAATATTTCAATAATAATTTGAGAACCCGTTTTTCCCCCCCTTAACAACAAAGGAGGATGATGATTTTCAATCCCCGAAATCAGGTAAATTTATTCTAAAACAATACATTTGATGCTCCAGTTTAAAAATATGTTTTTGTAGTTTGGTGTTTGCAGTTTATTATACAGTGTTTTCACATTTAAATTGTAGTTAACATTTGCATACCGTATATTTGTACGTACATTTAGATATTTTCTCATATTTTGCACGTTGATTTATTTTTTATTCGAAATGGTTGGTTATTATGGCATAAGCAGATAATGCACTCTTGTGCGTACCTTTTGATGAAACAACAAGATGAAGGGCATTTTGCAAGCGGCGTAGACCCCACTCGTATGGGGAAGAGTCTGATATTCCCCAGCTTGCTTCTGGTATATATAATCTAATCTTGTTTATAAGTCTTAAACACAAAATTTGTAATGTAGGTAATATCTTATGTTTTTTCAGGGAGTTATACGAAAAAATATGAAACCAACTCAAATGGTACAACACTTCATGACGGGAAAAGATGTGACAAATTTCCGTTACTTACTTTTCCCGTTAAACTCAGGTGAAGGTCCCATGAACACAATACCCCACTGGACTCTACTTGTTTATGATAGGATTAACTGTTAATGGGAGCATTTCAACTCCTCATTGCCTAGAAGATTGGACGGAAAAGAAGATCCATTCTTGGTTGATGCCAAAGAAATGAAGAGTTTCATGCAGATTGCAAATGGGAAGATGAAATTTGGTATTAAATCGAAGGCCAAATTAGTTTCCGTTTTGACAGCACCACAACAAAAGCCTGATTCAGTTGACTGCGGGATGTTCGTCCTTTATGTCGCACGACAATTTTGTCGCCAACATCCCTTAGACATTAAAGATGCACAAAATGGGATATGCGCATTACGAAGTGACTTTGTTCATCAATTCTTAAACGATGAACACACTGTGAAGTTAGATTAGCGCATAATGATCAGATTTTAGAAACTACCTTGAACTCTTGCTATTTTGGATATTTAATTTGGTTGCATTTTGATACAATTATAATTTTGCAGTTGGTAAAACATCCTTGTATTATTCTATACCTTGATGTACTTTTCTCGTTGTTTATGTTACTTTTTTTATGTTTGCAGTTTCAATTTTCGCTATTTACTAGGACAGGTTAAAAAATTAGACAAATTGCTATTTTCGTTGTGTTTTACACATATTGTGTGCTAACTAATGCAACTAGCGATGTAATGAACCAAACAAAGTCGGCATTTTCACTGAACGATGTAAAAGTTTATAGTTGTTGTTTGCTATTTGTTGTTTGCTGTTTATAACATAAAAGATGGAGGTACATATTTGCTGAATAGCTTCGTGTTTGTTGTCTGTAGCAAATTTACCATTTGCGAAATGGTAAAACATGAACATAAGCTAATCAAAACATGAACATAAGCTAATCAAAATTTACCACATGCTAAATTGTTCATTTCATTTAAAATGGTCAAATATCAACATAAGCTAATAATAAATAAATAAAAAAAATCAAAAATAGAAGCTTGAAAATCATAGCACAAGTTCTTAAATGAAAGATAAAAAACATAACTAAAAAGCATCACCCCTAAGAATAGATCAGATTTGTACAAGACTTCTTGTTGTAATTACCGAGTTCTTTACATCTCCCGCATCTTATTTTCCTTTTTATCTTCTCGCCAACAGACGGTACCCTCTTCTTCTCTCGTCTACCACGACGTGTTTTAAATTCAGGAGGGCAAACGCAAACTTCATCATCCCTTGAACTGTGTCTCACAAACTAATAAATGGGTGAGGCATAACATTCCCTGTAATATTCTGCGTAATATAGTTTGTCAATGAAATCGTACGGTTGTGACGTCTTATTGACTAATACATAGTCCGCATGAACACACGGGAACCCAAGTATCTGCCACTTTCGACATGTGCAAGTTTTTTGTAACAAATCTACGACCATGGACGGGTCACTAAGAACTTCGTTAATACCATCTGCAGCCTTCTCAGCTTTCTGTGTCCTACATTCGAGTTCAAGCTCTCTCAAAGATTTCTCGTACTTGGGGCAACATATGGTCGACCACTTGGATGATTTATCTCTCCTTGAGGTCATCTTTTTCATCAGTTCACTCCTAATTGTATCTATCATAGTCATAACCGGTAAGTCGCGATAATTAAGGATTTTTGAATTCCATGATTCAACTCCATTTGAATACATTTCACCATATCGTTGCCCTTCAAAATATGCGTTCGCCCAATTGTGATAAGGCAAGTCATTCAAAAAATTGACAATTCTGGTTGACCCACTAGCTTTAAGCTTCTCAATCTTCTTGTCGAACGATGTCTTTGAGAATTCAAATGCACATGATATAAATTGGCTAACGATTGCCTCCCTGTAACCAGTTGGGACCCCTTTAAGCTTGTTGTTCAAATTACCTGTCATGTGTCTGAGGCAAAAAGAGTGAAAAGAGTCTGGAAATACTTTTTTGACCCCGACTAGAATGCCATGTTGTCAGTCGGAAATAAACGTGAACACACGATCGTCGTTTATTGCCTGTTTTAACAATGCTAAAAACCAGTCCCAGTTATCATCGTTTTCTTCGTTAACTATAGCAAATGCAATAGGGAAAATTCCTGCATCAAACAATACACCCAAAATAAAAATTAAACATGATACTGCTTGACATGCTATAAATGCATATTAAAAATGATACTGCTTGTACATCGCGCACTAACTGGGAAGCAATGATCTTTGTCGTTTGCAATATATATAAAAATTTGCCGTTGGTAAAAACTGGTGAGACAAACAACACAGATGTTTGCATTTCGCAGTTACTGGTTCGTGATTGCAATCTGCAATTTGCAGTTTTACCAATATATACAAAAGAGAAAATTTGATTGACACCCCTTCAGAACTCGTAAAACATACCACATTCAACACATTCAACATAAAACATTAACACATACAGTACACATAGTTACTACCAAGAAAATATGTAAAAAAGTTTAAATTACTAACCATCGTTAGCGTCTTTTGACACGGCACTGAGAAGAATACCGCCGAATTTGCCTTTAAGAAATGTTCCATCAATTTGTATCATTGGCCGACAAGCGCGAAAACCAATTAAGCATCCACTAAACGCAAAGAAACATCATTTGAATGCCAAAGTCTCTTGGACATATTGTACATCGAACACACTGCCAGGATTGGCACGTCCTGCTTCCTTAAAATACGCGATTAACGCAGAATATGATGATCGATGGTCGCCAAAAACAGCTCCCCTGGCTTTGTCTTGCGTTCCACGCAACATAGTAAGTAACGTTGATTCCGTACTTATACCTAACTTGTTGTACAACATCGGTAGGCGTCATTTGTGGCATGATTCGTACGTCACTAACCATTAATTCACCCACAATTTCTGTACTCATTCTAATTTTTTTCGAACGACATAGTGCCACACCACAAGTATGCGATTTATTGAAAGTTCTTATGTAGAAAAATCCATTATTTGTGTTTACAGTAGCATGAATCCTCCAAGGGCACTTTTTAGCTTCTTTTTGTTTGCACACAGCAGTCACCCTTTTTCTGTCATTCTTCAAATACTCAAATTAAAAACCGCACTGATACGCAAATTTTACTAAACATTTTCTAAAATTTTCTACCCCCTCTTCAAATACTTGCCCCACATCTTGTATTAAATAACTCCACTTTGCACTCAACATTGTCCTTTTGTTCTGTGATCCTCCGGGTGAAATTCGAGCTGACGTTGCATTTTCATAAACTGTAATAATTTGGTTTTCATTTGGTGAATCAAAAATATCCATGTTATCATTCGCTAGTATACCATCTTTTAAGATAACTTTCACAAATACTTCGTCGATTGAAATTTTTTCAATGTAATCCATCATCACCCCAACATCTTCGTCATCCATCAGGACGCATTCCCCGTGATTTAACAAATTATATGTCAATGAAAAATTACCCGGACATAGGCAACTTCACTTCGAGCAAACAAAATCAACTAATTTCTTATAACTCGTTCCATCCGACACTTTCTTCACCGATACTAATACATCATACCTGAACACCAATTTTGTGGAGAACGATAAACTGCAAACAATATTGAACGAAATTAAGTTGTAAAAACGACGATTAATAAATCGAAAATTCAAAACAACAAACATCAATTAACAAACCTTTTCGTATAATTCAATTTCATGTTGATTGCAGGCCAAAACAAGGATTAACTGATTATCAACACCGACTCTCGCGTTTAATTGTAATACGCTCGTATTGGTTTGTCGAACTATTCATGATTATCTCATATTCCACTTGAATCGACTAAGATCTGCTTTCCAAACGTCTTACACGATACTCTGCCTTCAATCGTGATTAGTGGGATTTGATTTCTCAACTTTACGTAAATAACTGAATCCCCTAAAATATGTTTATTCAATAAGGGTACTTATGTCTATATATTCTTTTTATTATTTAATTTATATTATTTTTTATGTGGAAGGACCTAGGCCTATATTCATCTAGCAACTAAGACTTCTACCTATATAAGTCCAAAATAAAGGGTGTCTAGCAAATTTCCCATATATATATATATCCTACCCACCAAGAATTGTTCACCTCTCCAAAGTAAAATTTATATATATATATATATATATATATATATATATATATATATATTATATATATATATATATATATATATATATATATATATATATATCAAATTGTGCCACATAAAATTGAATACTAGTTGAATATTGACATTTGAGTTGACAATAAAGTGTAGGTACACAACGTGATTTAACTTGAATGAGACTTCACTCATTAACTATATACAAGGTGCCCACAACCTGTCAATCAACAACATGGTTTATGTTCATTTAACAAAGTCAATTATTAGTGAGTTAAACTGCCAGAGGATAATAGAATGTGTTTGGCTTAGCTTATAAAATGTTAAAAATTGCTTATAAGATATTTAAGATCAGCTTATAAGTTTTTTCAAAGAGTTTGGTAATATTTTAGAGAAAAATCTTAATTTTTTTAAATAAGTTGTCGCAAACAATTTTTTTTTTAAATAGCTTATCAGGTCTTAAAATATTTTATCAGACATAAGAGCTTATTAGCTCTTTAAAATAAGTTTAGCGACAAAATAAGATATATTTTAACTGAATGTAGTATTTGATGATATATTTTGAGATTGTTCATAATGACATTTTTTCTTACAGTGTATGCGTCTCTTCAATTAAATTTTCAGGCATATCTGCCAGCTCTCATTTTAATATTTAAAGTCTACTAATTTGTGCATTTTCACCTGAAATATGAATTAGTTAAAGGGGAAAATTTGAAAAACATCCCCCATGACACAATTGTCGTTACAATGAGTCTAATTTTATTTTAAAATTTTAAAATAAATCCAAAACAACTTATATTAATTAAAAGTACTTAATTATCACTAGTATACTCCTAACTAATAATTAACGTATATTTAATTTTGATATTAAAAGATATATAATATATTTGCCGTATATATCTTAAATAGCACGTTCCTTACTAATCCCACGATTTCCGCTCATTGATTGCAGATTTCTGTTTCGGTGGAGTGGGAATTCTAATCTTCAGAATTTTAATGGAGTATAATAATCGGCGCATCTTCTTTGTCTCGAATGTACGTCTCTCTCTCTCTCTCTCTCTCTCAAAATATGCGTTTATCTATTCTAGTTACGCTTGACACTACAGAGATCTCTGGCGGCGATAGGGGTTGATGTTGTTCGATTCACTTTGTAGAGTTATCAACCCCAAAAAAAATCAGTTTTCAATGGATTATCGAAGCCCAACATCTCAACCAGGAGTTATCTCAAGATAATTGTAGATGTATGAACATGTTTGTTTTGCTTAAACGTTATATTGCTGTTCATCTGAGCAATAAAGCGGCTTTGAAATTATACATAGTGGTTTTCATGTTTACATAGTTGTTATACAGAGTGATTTTCATGTTCACATAGTTGTTATACATAATGGTTTTCATGTTTACATAGCTGTTATAACTTATACATAGTGGTTTTCATGTTTATATAGTTATTTATACAAAGTGGTTTTCATGTATATTTGATTTTCACCTTCCTGGAATAATTTAGGAATGGCAAGAAGCACATGCAGAATAAATGAAGAACAACCATGTAAATTACTTGCAATTTCAACTAATTGATTTAAACCAACAAACAGAGGACACTAATTACTTATTTTTCGCTGCTGATTTTGGAACCATCTTATCGTGTTAACGATTACGAATACATAATGCTAAATCCGACACGGAAATTACTAAATCATGCACATAATAAAGTTTTCTTATCTCTCTAAAATCCCAAACGTGTCAACAAGTTCTTCTTTTCCCCTCAGGCTTGCACAAAAGAATTATAAAAATAGTACTATAATTCGAGAATCGAACTTGAAGAAGATCTTCTATAGTTTATTCTACGATCAAGGTTATCTTTCTATCTCAAATTTATTCTACGACTTAAGCAAGAGGGTTTTTTTTTGGGGTGGGGGCGCGCCTGGGGTAACAACGCGGTAGGTTTCGTTTCTTTCTTTCTTTCTTTTTAATTTTTTTTAATTCAATTGAATTAATTTTTTTGTTACACAATTACATTTTTTCGTGCCAGTACATATTGTACTTTCTACATCTCTATTCGTTCGTTTCACCTGCTTTTTCCCAAACCGATCACAGGTGACGTATACTGTATCACAAAAAATATGACCTTTACTTAGCTTAATACCATGGCTTTCAGCTATGTCTCTTGCCCACTGTATTAAATCGTCTCTACAATTAAACAATTGTTCTCCTCGAAAATTCAGAATAATGAACTTCCCCATTATCGTGAAAAATAAATAAAATATAACAAAAATTATAAAAAGAAAAAAAAAAAAACATTAACATGTGCGAATACAGTGTATTGCGCGCCTAACATGAACATGTGCGCGCTATTTGTTTCGTCTTTCATGTTGTCCGCCCTCTACGTATGACGGATTTTTTGTTAAAAACATTAAAATCTTACATCCGATTGAAGTGGATTGTCATTAGAAGGTATTGAACTCATTAGTTGATGATTATTACGTAACAAAAAGCGAGTTTTGACGACTTCAGTATTTTGAAAATCCGAGAAAAAAGTTAGAGAGAAGTCGAGAAGTTGGGTTCATCTATGCATCTGCACCTAATTAATAGAAAGGGACCCAACTTCGAAGCTTCCAGAAGGTACATGGAGCGCCATGTCAACAATGGCAGACCCCAAGACTCTCCCCAGAGGGCACCATGTCTGTTTTTCTGTATCGAATTTCTAATCCTTTGTGCAGAGCTTTAAGGATAAAGGGATAGAGATACACGAGAGTACAGAACCAGATGGGAAGACAAAACAAGCCTTCTTCTTCTTCTTCTTCAGTTCAGATGGCAGCGGCAGGCCGCGGATATTGGTGGTGGGTCGGCGACTGGGCGTGGGTAGGAGAAGTAGAGAAAGTGGAGCAATGAACAGAGAACCCAAGACAGCTTTCCTGTTTTTTTACAATTTCATTTTTCTATTTATAAGATTGTGCGACTAGATTGTGGAAAGAAGAAGAAGAAGAAGATGAAGAACATGATGAAGAAGAAGAGAAATGGTGGAAATATTGGAAAAAAATGGAGTAATTAAGGATTGTGATTTGGAAAAAAAAAAAAAAAAAAAACCCTTCTAAATAGCATGCGTGAGGCACATGCGTCTAATTCCGGTCATTTTGTCCTGAAAATGAGAAAAAAATGGGCAACATGGCACAACTTATTAAGTTCGGGTAGGATCGAAACTTTTTTTTTTTCTTGAGGTGGTAATCCGCAAAAATAGGCAAAGGTTAGGCGGTTTAATGCTATGTACCATTATTAAATACATACTACACCTATATATATATATATATATATATATATATATATATATATATATATATATATATATATATATATATATATATATATATATATATATATATATATATATATATATTATGAACACATAAGCCATATCTTACACAATTGCTTGTGATTTTAAGTTCTTTAAGTGCTCC